AAGATGTCCTCTGAAAGCAACAAAACATAGGTTGAGAGCAGTTGAACTGGACCGCAATGGGTGGATAAAAGTAGCTGTAGTTTGTAAGATTTTACATATTTCAGGATTAGCCCTGTTAACAGTATTTTTACTTTAACAATCATGATAAACTGGCATATTTTCTCTTCATTTAACAATGACAAAATATTAACATAGTGTTTTTATTTAACAATGACATGGTGTTTTCAGTAAACAATGACAATATGCTTGCACATTTCGTCCTTTAACAATGATAATTTGATTGTATGTTGTTTTTCTTCAACAATGACAATGTGCTAAGATATTTTATCCTTTAACAATAACAATGTGCTTGGATATATTTTCCTTTAACGATAACAATGTGCTTGGATATTGTTTCCTTTAACAATAACAATGTGCTTGGATATTGTTTCCTTTAACAATGACAGTGTGCTTGGATATTGTTTCCTTTAACAATAACAATGTGCTTGGATATATTTTCCTTTAACGATAACAATATGCTTGGATATTGTTTCCTTTAACAATAACAATGTGCTTGCGTATTGTTACCTTTAACAATGACAATGTGCTAAGATATTTTATCCTTTAATAATGACAATGTGCTTGGATATATTTTCCTTTAACAATAACAATGTGCTTGAATATTGTTTCCTTTAACAATGACAGTGTGCTTGAATATTGTTTCCTTTAATAATAACAATGTGCTTGCGTATTGTTACCTTTAACACTGACAATGTGCTAAGATATTTTATCCTTTAACAATAACAATGTGCTTGGATATTGTTTTCATTAACAATGACAATGTGCTAAGATATTTTATCCTTCCAATAATGACAAAGAGCAGACATAATTTTCCTCAGAGATTAGAATGTTCTAACAATTTTTCTTTAACAATAATAAAGTACTGAGATGATTTTTTATCCTTTGATTACTAAATGTTTATAGATAATAAAAAAAAATATTTGTATAACTACGAATGGGGGAGTATTGAAATCTTAAAAACATTTAACGTAAATACTATTAGAAGCTACTGAAAACTGAAAAGTTACGATATAATTAGCATACACTTAACAATTTAAACTTTTTCATTATATGTCATAACTTATTAACTAAGATATCCCTAAATCTATATACCTTCAAAGTTTCGACCAGCCTATTATTAACAGACAACCTTGATGTTAAGTTGAATGTATCAGAAATTATTTAATAAAGGCTAACTGCCACTTGAAGACATATTTAGATTACATGTACAAGATGTCCATACATTTGGAAAGATAAACTATTCCAACGTTTAATTAACAGGACCGTGTTATTAATGTTCTCTTGTTCCTTTAGTTCCACCATAACACATTATTGTGGTTGAATCTCGTAGTTGTGTTAAGGTGTTATTATTATTCATCCAGATCTTTACACGTTTAGGACTGAGTCTTGGGCTTTAACTGATATACATAGCTACAACAATCTTAACGTATCAGTATATTAATTCCAATTTCTACAAACTTATAGTTGAGTCTTGGGGTTGTATTTCGTCTCTATAATTAGGGTTGAGTCTTACGATTGTATTGTGTCTCTATAATTAGGGTTGTATTTCGTTTTCGAGACTTACAACCATCTTAGGATATCACAAGTTTTTAGATATTTAGATCATTACAATATATCTAGTTGAAAATGTTAGTCAAAAACTTTGGTTTTGAGTGATGGACATGCGCAGTGTCAACATTTCTGGAACTATGAATCACTACAGTAAAACACAGTAAAAATATTATAAATGAGATAAAACTAACTAGCTCAGATAAAACTAAAAAAAACTTACGTTTTTCGAATAATCCAGAAATTTCCCAACCATAAAATTCAAACATTTCATAAATTATTTTGACATCTTTGGACCAGAACACTGAAATAAATGGACGGTCAAAATAAGACATTAATTAATATTGAATAATATGTTTCAATTTAAAGTTATTTTAGAGAAAAAAATAGGACACAAGTTGTAAACACATTTTTATGTTAAACATTTTTTACTGAATTATAACTAGGAACTTGTAATGGATGGATATTAATATCCCAGAAGATATAATTACCCATGTTTCATAATAAACAATCCCATTGTTCCATATTAGGTAAAAACTGAGAAGAAAACGTTAACACTAAAGTTTTGTTCGCTATAAGTATTGACCGTTACAGTTCAGTTACGCAAAGTGTTCTGGACACTTTTTTAACCTTACCTTGAATCACAGTGTCTTCTATTGGCGAGTGTTTTCCTAATGAAGAAAAGAAAGACGAGTTATATTAGTAATATAAATTAAGAAACAATTAAGAAAGTCCCACAATAGCTGCTACAGCTACAGTGTTGTAAATCATGCTACATGGACAACGTTTCCAGTTCACAGGCTACACGATAATTGTTAGGGTTACCACAATATCATGTATTGTTCTAACTAATGGTAATTTTTCAAAGTGAGACCATTAATGACATATTAAACTCTAGTTTCAATGTTTCAACTAGGAACAAACCCTAGTATAAATGTTTCGACTATGAACAAACTCTTGTTTAAATTTTTCGACTATGAACAAACTCTTGTTTAAATTTTTCGACTATAAACAAACTCTTGTTTACATCTTTCAACTATGAACAAACTCTAGTTTAAATCTTTCAACTATAAACAAACTCTTGTTTACATCTTTCAACTATGAACAAACTCTAGTTTACATCTTTCAACTATGAACAAACTCTAGTTTAAATGTTTCGACTATGAACAAACTCTTGTTTACATCTTTCGACTATGAACAAACTCTAGTTTACATCTTTCAACTATGAACAAACTCTAGTTTAAATGCTTTCGACTATGAACAAACTCTAGTTTAAATCTTTCAACTATGAACAAACTCTAGTTTAAATCTTTCAACTATGAACAAACTCTAGTTTAAATTTTTCAACTATGAACAAACTCTAGTTTAAATCTTTCAACTATGAACAAACTCTAGTTTAAATTTTTCAACTATGAACAAACTCTAGTTTAAATGTTTCGACTATGAACAAACTCTAGTTTAAATGTTTCGACTATGAACAAACTCTAGTTTAAATGTTTCGACTATAAACAAACTCTAGTTTAAATGTTTCAACTATGAACAAACTCTAGTTTAAATTTTTCAACTATGAACAAACTCTTGTTTAAATTTTTCGACTATGAACAAACTCTAGTTTAAATGTTTCAACTGTGAACAAACTCTAGTTTAAATGTTTCGACTATGAACAAACTCTTGTTTAAATCTTTCAATTATGAACAAACTCTAGTAAACAGGAAGCCCTTTACTCACCATGAATTTCCTGTATAGCTATTCCTGCCTTGTCCAAACCGCGTCCTTCCCCGGTGAATACAATCTAAGATATAGGAAATGTTTAAAAAATACTTGTATCTATATAATATATATGTGTATAGAAAGACTGAAACCTGTGAGTCTTCAAGGTTGGGTACACTGTACGAGTAGACAGTCCTTACAGCTTAAGAGAAGTGTGAAACCTGTGAGTCTTTAAGACTGGATACACTGTACGAGTAGACAGTCCTTACAAGGTAAGACAGACTGAAACCTGTGAGTCTTCAAGGCAGGATACACTGTACGAGTAGATAGTCCTTACAAGGTAAGAGATGTGTGAAACCTGTGAGTTTTCAAGACAGGATACACTATACGAGTAGACAGTCTTTACAAGGTAAGAGATGTGTGAAACCTGTGTCTTCAAGGCAGGATACACTGTATGAGTAGACAGTACACATTTTTTTCCGATTGTTTTTAAGCTTTATCGGATTTTTGGAATTGGTATATGATCTTCATCAAGCAGATCTAGTTCAAATAATATTATTTTATTCCACAGATATATATATATGTTCTCCGTAACATGTCTTTTCATTCTATATTCTATGATTCTCTTAATCAAGCTTATCCTTCGGTATTCTATATACATACATATGACCTTTGTAACCAGGTTCATCCTTCAGTATCCTGTATATATATATACATATGATCTCTGTAACCAGGTTCACCCTTCAGTATCTCACTTTAATATTCAGAGTCCTACATTATCTACAACAGTGAAAAGTCAGTCTCGATAAAAAGTCCTGAAATACCCAAGAATATCGATACAACCGTGACGTTAAAGTATTGGTTGAATAGTGAAACTTCTGACTATACTCCTACCCTCTCTATCTATGTTGAGAAAAACAACAACCTTGTGAAACTACTACCTTTAACGAAATACGAAGATGGTAGCCAAGAGCTAGTCTTCAAGGCAGGATACACTGTACGAGTAGACAGTCCTTACAAGGTAAGACAGACTGAAACCTGTGAGTCTTCAAGGTTGGGTACACTGTATGAGTAGACAGTCCTTACAAGATAAGAGGGGAACATTTTATATAAAAAATTTGGTTTTCTGGAAAAGTAAAATGAAGGTAATTGGTTTTAATTTTAAAACACAACAACAGTTCATTTATACCAAGCAAAGTAATTTTGTAGCAGGTCATAAGAAACTCATAACACAGTGTGTTTAGAGTGAAGTTAGAAATGTTATATACTAAACACCTCGTTGAAACTAATAATATCATATTCAGAGTGATATTAAAATGTTATATACTAAACACCTTGTTGAAACTAATTATAATAGGTTTAGAGTGAGGTTAAAATGTTATATATTAAACACCTTGTTGAGACTAATGATAATAGGTTTAGAGTGAGGTTAAAATGTTATATACTAAACACCTTGTTGAAACTAATGATAATAAGGTGTTTAGTATATAACATTTTAACCTCACTCTAAACCTATTATCATTAGTTTCAACAAGGTGTTTAGTATATAACATTTTAACCTCACTGTAAACCTAATTGAAACTAATGATAATACGTTTAGAGTGAGGTTAAAATGTTATATACTAAACACCTTGTTGAAACTAATGATAACAGGTTTAGAGTGAGGTTAAAATGTTATATACTAAACACATTGTTGAAACTAATGATAATACGTTTAGAGTGAGGTTAAAATGTTATATACTAAACACCTTGTTGAAACTAATGATAACAGGTTTAGAGTGAGGTTAAAATGTTATATACTAAACACATTGTTGAAACTAATGATAATAGTTTTAGAGTGAGGTTAAAATGTCATATACTAAACACATTGTTGAAACAAATGATATCATATTCAGAGTGATATTAAAATGTTATATACTAAACACATTGTTTAGACTAATGATAATTGTTTAATGAGGTTAAAATATTATATACTAAACATCTTGTTGAAACTAATGATAATAGGTTTAGTCTGAGGTTAAGAAATGCAACACATATCTACCTGATTCCGAATTATCAGGCGGCAATTTGGGACTGTTCCAAAATATATTATATAACTGTTCTTGACATTCTGTGTTT